AGGCATAATCAAAACTTAAAACAACCCTCTGCATTATGAGTAAATTATGCAAAGCAAAACCATGAGCTGAGGCTGATTATTGAAAGAAACAAAAAATTACTTTATTTTTTTAAGCTTCTGCTGCCAGCCACTTTTAAATTTTCTAGCATCACCAGATTACTCCTAGGCGGTGTATGCCTTGACCGTCCAAAAGCAACAAACCATGCTGGTTATACTGAACTTCCTGCAAATATGAATTGATTAAGTACTTCTGTTGGTATGTTGGGTAGCTGTTTGGATTGAAGTTGAAGGATCAAGAGTTTGTGTGTGCAATTAGGATTAAACATGCAAGGAGTTGATCCAACTTCATTAGCCCGTCCTACAAAAATAATCACTAATTCGGAAACAAGAATGAACACAATCATTAGGTCAGTGGCAGTGTCTAGAAGCTGAGATAACTTTTTTTTTTTTTTTTTCCAATTTTCAAGTTCACACAGAGATTTGCAAATTCTCATAATACGCAACATCAAAATCATTCTATTACATATTTCTTCTAAACTCTTCCAACTAAATGGAAAACCAAACATACAAAAGGGCAATAAAATCAAAACCCCCGGAAAACAGTAAAATAGGCTCAATTGTCCACACCAAATGTAAAATTCCTGTAAGCCACAAAGAACGACAGCAGATTGAACAATCACATACCTAAGCTCCGTCGGGCCCGATAGAGGGCCGAAATCGTGGGAGGGTACGGCGATTTGCTCGAGTTCGAAGGCGCCAGCAATTTGTTCCGAGTTAGACACCACCAGCGTCGACGGTCGAGGTGACGGCGGATGAGATGGTGGCTCGATGGTGACGCTTATCTGGGACGGCGACGGCAAATGTGACGGCGACTCGATGTTGACGCCTATCAGCGACGGCGATGGAGCCTTTTCGACCTTTAATTTCATGGATTTTGGGACGGCGCAACAATGGCGACGGCTAGGGTTTGTGGAAGAGAAAAATGGGAATGATCCACTGAGAAATTTATTTTGCTTCGGTCAAAAGCAAGAGGAAAAAATGTGGTAGGTGAAACCGTGAAAGAGAATGAGAAGCTTCTTAAAGACTCAAACAAACGTGTATCTCGGTTGCGTATGGCACCACACATAATTTAATTTATGTTGAAAAAGCTAGTGGCAGATGCGTAAAAAAGTGGTAAGAAGAATGGCCTTTACAATGGACAAAAGAGGACACGTGTCAACACCTCAACCCCTTACATTTTTGCTTATATGTAAGGGGGAGATAAGCTATAAGCTATAAGCTCAAAAATTACATATAAATTATAAGCTAGCTTATCAGCTATCAGCTAGTTTTACCAAACATAGCCTAAATAGGAATCCTATTTTGTAAAGAATAACTCGACGAAATTGCAAATTTCGTACTTTTTGATTGGACGGTTTTATTTTTAGTCATAAGAGGAGCATTTTTAGTCATTAACTAATGTTTGTTCCTTATTTAGTCCCAAATTCAGTTCTTAATTAATTTATGTTTCGCATTTGGTCCTAACATTTAACGGACCATGAAGTCACCGTTAATCCTCAGAACTAAAATTGCGATCGTGGAACTAAAATTGGACCGTCCCAATATAACGGGACCAAATTTGTAGTAGATGACATTATTTTTATTTTATTTTAAAAAAAAAATTATTAAACTCTACAATTATATTTTATTTTTTATCAACCACTATAATTATAATAAAATTAAATGATAATTTTCTAAGTATATTCAATATTTAATTAAAATATTTGAAATATAGAAAGCATTGTAATGCAATTATTTTTTTAATACATTAATAATAATATAAATTTAAATTTATTTGAATTTATATATATCAAATATATTTAAGTTTATAATTTTGCTAGATTAAAAAATATAGAAATATTTATTAAATATTTAAATATATATATACACACACACACACAATTGATCAGTCCGATCAACCAATTCTGACTGGTTCATTGGAATCCAGTTTGTTCAAAGGAATCCAACCATTTGACCG